TCTCTCTCTCCCTCTCTCTCTCTCTCTCTCTCTTCGATGCGTTCGCTTGCATTACGATGTGTTGTCGCGCATCTTCCTTCTCCGATTTCTCATAATGCGCATGAGTATCACACGCGTACCGAATCTACATGCAAATGTCGAATTTATATTATTCAAATGAAAGTCTTCCGAACGATCGTGGATTCGTGGAAATTTTTTCAACGGATGGAATAAAAATAAAAATAAGAAAGAATATCGAAATTATTCAACATAATATATATAACATATATAATATATATATATATATTATATATATATATATATATATATATATATAATATTATAATTCATTATTATTGTAATAGGTATAACGAATGTAAAATAAATCGAGCTAGAAAATATTCGATTTTTAATTGTCGTAGAATATAGAAAATACTTGATTATATCTTTTTTTTTTACATAAAAATTTTTCATTAAATTATCCGTAGGCATGCGGAAAATAAATTTTCTTTTCGATTTTAATATATTATAAATTTATATATTGATTATCTAATCAAAATTTAATTGAGAAGAAAGTTTTCAGGATGTCTCCATATAATTTTATCTGTAATGTCGTCTCTTGTCGTCTTAAAAAAACGGAGAATGGCTCGCCTTTATGTTACATAACGAGATTAATTGGACGTTGAATAATTCAATGAACATTTATGATACACCGACGATAATCCACAAGAATGAAGGAGAAGTCGTTATATCTTTCAATCGATTTGATATTAATGATTTAAAAAGATCAACATTCAAACAAATACAATAATGAAAAATGAATAGTAAAAAAAAAAAAAAAAAAAAATAGAATGGAGAAAAGAACATCAATCGAGATAGACAAAGATTCACATTACACAAAGTTCAATTTTTTAATAACGTATCCGTACGATAGTACACGAAATCTTTTTTTTTTACGAAAAGTTCATTGGTCGTAGCGAATATTGTCATCGTCGGAACGTTGACGACGTGGGATCGAGTTTTATCACGTACGACGAATTTCCCGCAGGAGTTGCCCTTAGGTAACGGGTTACGAGTCATTCTCTGTCTCTGCCTCTGTCTCTCTCTCTCTCTTTCTCTTTCTCTACGCGATAAAGTAACGCGCTTGCGTTGTATCAGCGCATATAGCTATCATATAAGGACAAACGGAAGGGCGAGTTTCGAGTTTGTCATTCGAGATTCAAGCCGATTCGCGCGTGCGCTCATACTTTGGCTTTGATGTCGCGAATTGCCATTCTAAATGCATGGATGAGTATCATTCGCGATATAGTCACGGTCTATGACCAGATTTTCGCTAACATTCGTAAGCACGCACATATACGTGAATACATGTACATCGTGAATTTATGTAGTCAATATAAATACTTGGACGAAAGCGGAAAAGGTTTCTTGTATTTAGGTCAATCGGATTTCAGTGACTTTTCTTTATATTACTTGATTTGCCTTCCCTGATTACGATTCATTTTATCTATCTATAATATATATATATATATATATATATATATATATATACCTTCTATGACTAGTATAAGCCTACATTTTGGAATACGATTGGAATTATAGACTAATGTATTTCGAATGTTAACGTTATTAGACTGTGTAATTAACGCTATATATGAACCTAAAATCCGATCGATATGCTGATTTTTTCTTCGTCGGAAAATTCTTTGAATTCTTTAATCATTGATTATTCAGAAAGATTTTAAAGTCATTTGAAATCAAATATTTTAAGAACATTTTATACGTCAAGATAATTCTTTGTGGCCTTTTATACTCTTTCATTTACCAACAAGAAAGGGTTATCGATGGAAGATAAAAAGCACCGTGACATTTTGCTGCCTTCTCGTAGAACAATTTATCGCTCTAGAATTAACGTTACTTTTATCGATCTATTTCCTTCGTTTCGTATAATTCTCTTTCCTCGTGTTTGCGCTTAGGAAATACATCGATACAATCGGCCACACTTTTTTCTCCCTCTCTCTCTCTCTTTCTCTCTTTCTCTCTCTCTCTCTCTCTCTTTCTCTCTTTCTCTCTCTCTTTTACTCTTTCTTTTTACACGCCCCATTTATCACGCTTTACGAGTGTATCGTCGATATCGCAGGGGAAGCGTTCGTAACGAGAGAAATAAAAATGAATGAATTATTATCCACCGAAAACGTTCCGACAATTTGTAATAAAAAACTCAGCTTGTCATGTCTTCCGATTTTTCTGAAACAAAAGTTTGAAGATGGAGGGCACCGGAATGATAAAAAGAACGAGAATTATCAATCATTTTTCTTCGTATCCAGCAAAAGATAATTGTGAATAAAATCGATAAATCAATCAATAATTCGCAACTTTAAATGTTTATACGAATTATTATATTTTTTCATAAAATATTAAACACATACACGCGACAATAACGTATACACACGATACTTTGTTGTGCACGACAATTACTTAGGTAAACTTTATATATGTATATATATATATATATATATAT